AATAACTGGGGATCTTAGGAAGAATCAAATCTATAGAAATAACTTAGGAAAGCATTATAAAACAGAGGTTAGGGGAAACAGGCTTTGGAAGTAGACAAAACTGGTTCTGACCCTACTTCTGCCACTCACTAGCTCTAAGACTCTGAATACAGATTCTCTCTCAGCCTCGGTTTCCTCATCTGTAAAGTAACAGGACCTCATTGGACTGCTGGGAGGATGAAATAAAATAATGCATGTGAAGAGCTTAGCAGGATGCCTGACACAAATTGCTAAATAAATGGTAACTGTTACTAATATATTTGGCTTGGTAAAATGCACTGGGAATGGATAAAGTTTTTCCAGCAACTCTTAGAAAACCTGCCCAAGGATTGAAATAAATCTCCAATAGAATATAATTTTAGAGAACTTCTGCCCTTTAAAAATTAAATGAGTACTTCGTTCAACAAATGGAGTTGAGATTCCACTCACACTACTGAGAATGCTGGTCCAAGAGAGAAAAATACATGTCAGTCTGGGGTCCCCCAAAATTCCAAAGCTGGTGAATGGTGTAGGCTCACCAGAGGGCCCATTGGGGGACCTACACAATCCCAAATTCATATATTGAACCCCAAAACAATATTAGTATTATATGCTGCAGTCAAAAGGGAAATAAAAGTTTCCTCTAAACATTTAGATGACAAAGCTTCTCCACTCTCAATTCCACGACATTCCATTCCACACTTCCTGACCACCAAAACCAACCAAACGAAATATCCTTAACAGGAAAATTCAGAGTTGGAGAGCGCTCAGGATTATATGTTCATAAGAGTAAGGTCTAGGTAATCATGGACCGAAGGTCAGGTACTTGGTTCTTTGCTTCTCTGCCAAAATGGACATCAGACGTTTAAGGTGGAAGCTGCGAGATGAGGATTTTTTGTACACATCCACATTGTCTCATATACACCGAACACGCACACATAAACGCACTCCACTGCGATCACCGCCCACATCCCACACTCAGAAAACAGCCTGTAGCCTTTTAGGCAGTCACAGCCCTCCTGCCCTTCCAAGCCTCTTAACGACGTCCACTCTTCGCCCCACAGAAAGATCACCAAGGGGAACAGTGGGGGGGAAAAAAACGATAGTAATTCCAATTAGACAACATTTTACTCTCGCTGTGGCCAGAACAGAAGCCGAACAGTTCGGCGACTCTTCCAGGAGGACGGACCCGAGTGACGGGGGCCTCATTTCCCAGGAAGGGTTCGTCCACACCTGTCATCGATAGTGGGCGGAAGCAGGGAGGAAGAAACCCTTAGACGCGAACCCGAGCCACCCCAGTACATTTATCAGATCCCACTCACCCCAGTCCTCATCCGGCTTGTGAGAGAGTCCGAGGCTAAAAGGTGACTCCATGGTGCCAGCAACACAAGCCGGCTCCTCCATAACACAAGTTCCCCTGCCCTGGAACTCGGTGAATAATATCAGGGACGGCGGCTGCAGGCGGACAAAACACTCCGTAACGCCGACGAGACGGTGGCCGGATAAAGACAAACTACTGCTCCTGCACGAGGGACTTGTGCAAGCCAAGAGAACGTCAGCGACTAAGCTAATTGAAACTCATCCCTGAGTAAATATTTCCCTTTTGGAATTTCCAGCGCTTTCT